CTCTCTCTCTCTCTCTCTCTCTCTCTCTCTCTCTCTCTCTCTCTCTCTCTCTCCCTCCCTCTTCCCATCTCTAATCAATCAAGGTAACCAAGGTAACCGGTGGCAGGCGTTGGCCACTGATGATCCCGGCGAGGGGGATCCAGCTTCAGCAGCACAAAGGACGGCTCCTACATCTAGATCTCCTGGGATTGTTCTGTTCTCCTCTCTCTCTCTCTCTCTCTCTCTCTCCCTCCCTCTTCCCATCTCTAATCAATCAAGGTAACCAAGGTAACCGGTGGCAGGCGTTGGCCACTGATGATCCCGGCGAGGGGGATCCAGCTTCAGCAGCACAAAGGACGGCTCCTACATCTAGATCTCCTGGGATTGTTCTGTTCTCGGCCGCTCCCACCAAAGGAGCTGCTCTATGCGATGTCTGGGTGGAAAAAGGTTTCTGATCTACGGTGGCGGCCAGATCTGGCAAAGAAAACTTTCTAGCACCGATTAAGGTTTGTTCTCGCTTGGTTCAGTGGAAATGACCTTGTGTGATGCAAGGAGAATACCCAAGGGGCGGGTAAGGCGGCAAATCTTAAAGGTATGTTGGATGCCGTTGAGAAGGAACGGGGAATGAAGGTTTCCAAGCCGGCGGCTGTGCGTGAGTTGATTATGAGCTCCATCAATATCTCCACTCCGGTTACATGTATGCTTGGGGGAGGACCGGCCGAGGCCATTGAAAAGGGGGAGGCGTGTTGGACGTCCAGCCAACATGCCATGGAGGATGATGTTCGCCTGAAGGAGGAGGCTCAATCTGATGAGCACCAGGAGATGAACTTGGTCAGGGCTACTGAGTCCGACCAAGAGGCTTCCCTTGTGAATGATAGGGATGACTCGGGGCGGGATTCTACCGCACCTTCCAGCATGAAAGATGACCAGGAGGAGGACACCGTCCAGCACCCTGCTATGGTTCGGCTTGCTACCAGCTTGGACGAAGCAATGGGATCGGAACGCCCAGGAGATCGGGACTTCCAGGTAAGTCCAGAAATTGTTGCCAGCTCGTATGGAGCTAGGTTGTCGATGACATGGATGCTGCCATGGTGGAAATTGATTCTGATAGCAATAGGTGTGAACCGCCTATGATTACAGCCATGCCCATGCAAATTGCTACAGGATCATGCACTCAAGGTGCTTGTGGAAATGGCTCCAAGACCCCATATGCAGTTTTGCCAAACCCGCAGCCTACCAAGGCCGTTCCCCCACTGCCATTTGATCGTCTGCACAGTCCCTTTGCGTGGAACAAGATTCATAACGTGCCCCTTGAGAGGATGTCTCGGGAGCATTTCTTTGCGAAGGATGGGACTACCATCGAACTTGAGCTCAACTCAGTCAAGGATAACATTGCCAAGCTTGACATGGCTATTGTGGCTAAGCTCATGGGAAGGCGCATTTCTTTCCCCTTCATTCTTCAGGAGCTTAAACGGAGATGGTTTCACTTTGGTGAATTTGAGATCATTACTATGGGCCCAAACACGTTCATGACTTTCGCAAAGTCGTTTGCAACTAATCTCCTCATGACCAGGGGCAATCCAAGGTACTCCAATGAATTCACTTTACGAAACCCCATCAACTTAGAAATCATTCTTTTCTTCCATCTCTGGCATCTCCTACTGAACAAAATGGCAGACTTCCCACAGTTTATTTTTTGTCCAGTCCACGAGCAATAATCATTTAAGATATTCATAATCTGATTGGCACTTCCCCGGCAAGCCTCTGCAAAAACTAAGATGTCATCCGCATAAAGCAGATGCGAAATCTTCTCAGCATTCTTGGTCACCTGGATCCCAAGATGTCCTCCTCCCTGCCTCAAAGCCTTCGTTAGAAGCTCAGAGCATAAAATGAACAAATACGGCGATAAGGGGCACCCCTGTCTTAGCCCACTCCTAGCATAGATCCATGGAGTTCTATTCCCATTCATAATAAGGGAAAACTTGGGATTGAAAACACATTGCATCACCCACTGAGTGAATCTCTCCGAAAAACCCATACACTTTGATGTAGACAAAGGGGGGGCTCAACACAAGTCCAAAATAATTCAGATTTTTGCTTCCCTTGAGTCTACTAGCTCAATCCAATTGAGCTAGAATTTTAGCTCATTTATGAGCTAGGCTTTAGTTCATTTATTGAACTAGAGGTCAGCTCATTATTAGCTAGGAATTTTAGCTCATAGTTATCTTTATAATTAATGTAATTTTATGCTTTTTATGTTTTCTTTTATGTTTGTCTCTTGGAATTCCAAACCGGCCTTTGGAATTCCAAGATTTCATTTTCATTGGTGGCTCCTTGAATTCCACCATTGCTTTTTAGCTTTATGGGTATGCCCCTTGGGATCTCACAGCTGGCTCCATGTTCCGTGTCCGCCCTTCGGTTCCCGTGGCTGTGGCTCTCAGTCCGTGCTGTTTCCTTCGTCTTCCGTGGCCATCTCCTTGGTTCCTAGTTTGGGTGTAAACCGAGAGCTTGGGTGAAGTTTTCTATGTGTTTTAAATGCTTTAAATTAAGTGTGTGTCCTTTTGTATTCCCCTTTCATACCTATAAATATGGGGGGTTATGTAATGTTTGAAGTTAGTTGAATGATATTTGATTTTTGGAAAATCAGTTTACCTGCGGGTTGCCCGAAAATCCTGCGGGCTCTTTCCAACCTTCTTTTCTCATCCCCTCCGGAAATCCTGCGGGCTCTTTCCACCCTTTCTTCTCGGGCTTCTAATCTCTTTCGTCTCTCCGCAAGTGCCACTCCACCTGTATCCTTCTTCTATAAGTGCAGCAACTTTAGGGTGTATGTCGTGTTGTTTGCAAGTCGTCGTCATAGTTTTGGTTATTTGGTTTTAAAATTTGAAATGTAAGAGTTTGTTCTTCCCTATTTTCATCCTTTTTCTCAGTTTCGTCGTTAGAAGTTCGTCGTTGTCGTCTTTGTGGGTATAGACTCCCTAGATCTCTTGCCCGTATCAATAACAAGATTATGCCAATTTCTTCAACAAATGCTTCAAATCAACTTTAATACCAATTGATGGGGCAAGAGATCTAGGGAGCCTATACCCCTCGCCCACAAAGACGACAACGACAGACTTCTAACGACGAAAATGAGAAAAAGGACGAAAATAAGGAAGAACAACAATAGGGAAGAGTAAACTCTTATATTTCAAATTTTAAAACCAAATAACAAAAACTATGACGACGACTTGCAAACAACACGACAGACACCCTAAAGTTGCTGCACTTAGAGAAGAAGGATAAAGGTGGAGTGGCACTTGCGGAGATACGAAAGAGATTAGAAGCCCGAGAAGAAAAGATGGAAAGAGCCCGCAGGATTTCCAGAGGGGATGAGAAAAGAAGGTTGTAAAGAGCCCGCAGGATTTTCGAGCAACCCGCAGGTTAACTGATTTTCCAAAAATCAAATATCATTCAACTAACTCAAACATTACATAACCCCTCATATTTATAGGTATGAAAGGGGAATACAAAAGGACAGAAACACTTAATTTAAAGCATTTAATACACATCGAAAACTTTCCCCCAAGCTCTCGGTTTACACCCAAACCAGGAACCAAGGAGACGGTCATGGAAGACGAAGGAAACCACACGGACCGAGAGCCACAGCCACGGGAACCGAAGGGCGGACACGAAACAAGGAGCCAGCAGTGAGATCCCAAGGGGCATACACATAAAACTAAAAAGCAATGATGGAATTCAAGGAGCCACCAATGAAAAAGAAATCTTGGAATTCCAAAGGCCGGTTTGGAATTCCAAGAGACAAACATAAAAGAAAATATAAAAAACATAAAATTACATTAATTATAAATGTAACTATGAGCTAAAATTCCTAGCTAATAATGAGCTAACCTCTAGTTCAATAAATGAACTAAAGCCTAGCTCATAAATGAGCTAAAATTCTAGCTCAATTGGATTGAGCTAGTAGACTCAACGGAAGCAAAAATCTGAATTTTTTGGACTTGTGTTGACCTCCCCTTTGTCTACATCACACTTCATCACAGCTTGCAACGTCTCCCATGACATACAATCGTATGCCTTCTCCATATCCACCTTGAGAGCCATCATCCCAGCTTTCTGAAGAGAATTCTGAAATTTTCACATAACTTCTTGAGCAACCAACCCGTGGCTAGAGATGGATCTACCTGGTACAAAAAACCCCTGCTATTCACTAACAATCTTCTCCAGAACTGGCTTCATCCGATTGATCAAGATCTTGGCAACAATCTTGTAAAAAGATTGGCATAGGCTTATAGGCCTATACGTGGATGGCAAATCAGCATTATCCATCTTAGGAATTAAAATCACCATAGTGTCCTTCTAGCTTTCACTCATGGAGTTAGAGTTAAAGAAATGTAAAATAGCATGAAATACATCTTTTTTAATAATTTTCCAATAGAATTTTAAAAAAGAAGATGTAATACCATCAGCCCCCGGTGCTCTGTTCTTTCCCATAGAGAATACAACATTCTGGATCTCTTGCTCAATGATGTTAGCCTCCCAGCCTTCAATCATAAGATCAGGAACTTTGTCATTGGTCTGAAAAACCGGCCAATTATCCATGCAAACTTGTCTGTCTCTCCATTTGCTCATAAAGAAATTCATGAATTCATCTTGAATAGCTTTCGGTTCAACAACACGATCCCCATTTGAATTCAGAACTTCTCCAATCCTGTTGCCACGCCTACGCGCCGATGCCGTAGCTTGGAAGAAATGTGAATTGGCATCACCCTCCTCAATCCACCTAGTTTTTTGCCCGTTGTCTCCACCAAGTAGCAATACGCGCCAAAGTAGAATTCAATTCAACTGCCTTCCTCCTCATCTCCTGTTCCTGTTCTTCAGTGAGCTCCCTATCACTGCTTTCAATAACCTGAAGCTCCTCCATGCGTGCCTAAAGTAAATTTTTTAGCTCTCCCAATTCCTTCAATCGGTTACGGCTCCAAAAAAATAGAGCCCTCAAAGTTCTATGGCATTTCCCATTCAATACATCCGCAGGTAGCCCATAGTCTTGCTTAGTCCAATTCTTCCACACAATCTTCCAAGTAACCGGATACGACATCCAAATGTCTTCAAATCTGAGCCACCTACCTTCAGGTTTCTGCAAAGTAGGAGCTAAGAAAAGAAGCAACGGATAGTGGTCAGATGCCAATCTAACCAGATGCTTAACAGTAACCAGAGGAGCAAGTCGAAGACCCTCCGAATTCATCAAGATTCTGTCAAGCCTGACCCAGATTTTGCTATTCCCAGTCTTATTATTAGACCAGGTGTATCTCGGCCCCAAAATTACTAGATCATGCAGGTCATTATCAACTAGAAAAGCAGACATTTCTTGAGCTCCCACCGTATACTTGTATTTCTGTCCACCCTTCTTTTCACTCTGATCCAAGCAACAATTAAAGTCCCCTCCTACAATCACAGGGAGGTTCCCATTAATAAAGTTGCCAATCACATTCCAAAGACTACGGCACGCATGGTAATCCTTCTTGGCATACACCACTGCCACAATCCATTCCTGTAGGTTAGGTAACAACACCTTACCAATCAACACTTGCTCATCAGTAGCCATGACCTCAAATTTCATAACATCCTTCTTCCACAGGGCAAGCAATCCACCTGAATTACCAACAGCTGGACAATGAAGATAATCCCAATCTCCACCAACCAACCTATTAACATCCATCCGACCAAAACTAATCCAATAAAACAAACCTCATCATTCCCAATGAGGCTCCGCAAGTAATGCCCAGTTTGTTTCTTCTAAGCACCCCTATGATTCCAAATAATGATGGAAGACATTAAGCAACAAAAGGGGAAGCGTCCCCGCCGCCTAGATCCTCCACCATAACCGAGCTAGTAGCTTCCATCATCTCCTTTTTTCTTTTCCAGGGAACCTCCAGAATAGGTCCCAATTGGTTAAGCTCCTTCAGAGCATTGGCTCTATTAGCCATTCTTATTCCAACCGTGAATGGCAACCGCTGTTTCAACCCCATCCTGATCTAATTCTGAGTGGGCTTCACCATACTATCAGGCACTTGAACCTTGTTCAAGTCCACTTGCTTAGGAAAATTTTCTATCCTTATCAATGGGAGGTTAACTGAGAAGATTAATGCAAAGTGTGGATTCCGTCAAGGGTGTCCTTTGTCACCTTACCTGTTCATCTTATGTGCAAAGCTGTTGTCGGCACACTTTCATCAAAATTTCATGGAGCTGGGAGTGCCAATCAGTGCTGGGGGACCTTCTGTCTCCCACCTCCTTTATGCTGACGATATTCTCTTTTTTGCAGGTGCTTCAATCCCCAATGTTAAGAAGATCAATGCTATTCTTGAAGACTATTGTAGCTGGACTGGACAGAGAGTCAACAATGGCAAATCTGCCATTCTTTTTAGCAAGAGGACTTCATCCACTACTAGATCTCGGTTAGCTAAGATGATTGGCTGCTGTAAAGTTGCTGAGATGGAGTACTTGGGTGTCAAATTGGCGCTGAGGAGGCTTTCTAGGAAGGATTTCACTCCACTGATTCAGAAGGCCAGAGCTTGTACGTTGTCCTGGGGAATCCGTCATTTGTCTTTGGCTGGACAGGTTACATTGATTAATTCAGTTTTATTACCTTTATCAGTGTATATGGTGACACATACTGGTGTGCAGAGAGCTGTTCTTAATGATATTGAGAAGATTTGTCACAGCTTTTTTTGGGATAGACATGCTACACATAAAAGCATGCACTATACTTCATGGGAGAGCATGGTACGTCCAAGATGCAAGGGTGGCCTTGGTTTTCATACTGGTGACAACTGGGTTGGACCATTGAGAGCTCGCATTACTTGGGAGTTTATTTGCAAACCATTGGAGCTTTTCCAGAAATATATGAGGCATAAATATGGGGATAATCCGTGGCATTATGATGGGAGGAAGGGGAGCTCTATCTGCTGGAAGATTATCTGTGAAGGAGCCCGTAGTTTGAGCAGCTCGATTCGTTGGAAGATTTATGTGGAAGGAAGATTGATGTGTTGAATGATGTGTGGATTTGGGATAGGACTTTATCTAGATGGCCTACATTTTGTGATATCAATTCTATTGAAAATCTGATGGTGTCAGATTTTATTCTTAAAGGAATTGGATGGAATAGGCCAAAACTTCTTCTTTGTTTTGGAGAATTGCTGGTGGACATAATCTGTGGAATTTCGATTGAAAATGGGTTGTCTACTTATTCTATTGAAATGGTGAAGAGCCCACTTGGTTCAACAATTTCTACTATGGTTTATAATAGTTGTTTCATGGAAGATGATGATCCTATTTGTCTTATTTTTAAAATCAGGATGAGGCCTAGGAAGAAATTGTTTTGGTGGAGATTATATAAAGACAATATCCCAACTAATGGTTGGCTTTGTAGACGGTGTCTTTCTGCTGATTCTTCTTGCCCTTTGGGATGTGGTGAGGTGGAGGACATAAATCATATTACATGTAATTGCAAGAAGCTCCGGGATGTCCTAACTGTTCTGGAAAACTGGGGATTGGTGGTTCCTCGGTTTTGTTCATTTGATGAGCTATGGGATTCCATTGGGAAGTTTGCTGATATGAGGTAAAGTTGGGTGCCGATGTATTGTGTAGCTGTTCATTAGAATTGGGATAACAGGAATTCTCTGTTAAGCATGGTAAAGGTGGCTGTTCTCCTGCATACTTGGCTGCTAATATGTTGGAGGTCTTGGATCAAAGTTGTTTTTCATTTCATCTGGAGCAACGGGATACCTTTCAATCCGTTGGATTGTCTACTCTGTATTCTTGGTGTCCCCCCCCCCCCTACAGGTTGGCTGAAAATTAACTTGGATGGAGCTTTGCATCGATCGAATGCAGGGTATTGGAATTGTTATAAGAGATTGTGAAGGGAAGCTGATTGCTGCGGCTGGTTGGTGTGTAACACATTGGGACAGCACACAAGTGGAATTGTTGGCTTTTAAGTATATTGACAAACTTCATTATGATTGGATGTTTGATTTTTATGGAGTCATTATAGACGGAGATAATGCAGGCGTGATCAAGTATATGCAGAATTTCTTGTATAGGGATAAATGGAAGCTGTAAGTGATGGATTGCATGGATATGGAGTGGCTTAAGCTGTTCCAAAAGGTCTAATTTGTTCATACTTATAGAAAGTTCAATAGAGCAGCCCACTTTTGTGCACAGAGGGCAGTGGATAGTTATTTTTCTTGGGATATAGGAGATAGAGATATTCCTCAAAGAGTTTTTGGAAATCCTTGAGGAAGATAGTTACTTTTCTTTTTCTAGAATGTCGTATGGCCATTAGTTTTTATTTGATAGTTTGTAATAGCTTTTTATAGATGAA